TGGTGGGGAGTTCCTGCCTTAAGTGGAGGAGTTCAAGTATCTTGGGGTCTTGTTCACAGGTGAGGGAGGGATGGAACGGGAGATTGACAGGCGGATCAGTGCAGCTTCTGCAGTAATGCAGTAGATGTACCGATCTGTCGTGGTGAAGAAGGAGCTGAGCTGTAAGGCGAAGCTCTCGATTTACTGGTCGATCTACGTTCCGACTCTCACCTATGGTCATGAACTTTGGGTCATGACCGAAAGGGCAAGATCCTGGATACAGGCGGCCAAAATGAGCTTCCTCCGCAGGGTGGCCGGGCGCACCATCAGAGATAGGGTGAGGAGCTCGGTCACCCGGGAGGAGCTCAGAGTAGAATCGCTGCTCCTCCACATCGAAAGGAGCCAGCTGAGGTGGCTCGGGCATCTGTTTTGGATGCCTCCTGGTCGCCTTCCGAGGGAGGTGTTCCGGGCATGTCCCACCGGGAGGAGGCCCCGGGGAAGGCCCAGGACACACTGGAGGGACTATGTCTCTTGGCTGGCCTGGGAACGCCTCGGCATTTTCCCGGAGGAGCTGGAGGAAGTGTCTGGAGAAAGGGAAGTCTGAGCAACTTTGCTTAGACTGCTGACCCCGCGAACTAGTTCCGGATAAGTGGAGGAAAATGAATGAATGAATGATAGACTTTGTCATGTTTGCCCTTTCAATCTATACTTTATTAGTGAAGATGTTTTAAGATTTTTAAAAATTATTTAATTAATTAATTAGCAAATGTATTAAAATCAAAGTAAAATCTCAACGTCTCATTCAGACACTTCATTCAGTACTTTGTCAAAGCTCCTGTGGCAGTTGCACCTTTCAATCTAACTAACAAACTAAGTGCCTTCTATGGATGACACCCTGCAATTGAATGAAATGCACTGGAATGAGCTACTTTCAATGGCTCAAAACTGGCTGGCAGCCAAGGGCCTTTGGCAAGCGGCAATAATTCTGAGTGACTAGGACTGAACTGGGCAGGTAACGTACAGTGGGTTTATCAGAGCTTTCTTATTAAAACCAGCTGCCTGAAACAAGCTTCATGAGAGCAGAGAGAGTGATTCAAAGCTGCATCAGGTCCCAAGTGTAGTGCTGTTTGTTGAGGTACCGGAGCACACCTATGATGCATGCATGTACACATGGATGCACATGGTTGAATTGTGCTCGTATTGAGGGCCGTGTAAACACTTTTCCTACAGTGGCAAGTTTATACACATTAAAGTTAGTCAGCTGTCATGACCAGTCATCAAATGCCTCCTAAATCTATAAGGAAATAGATGCTCTCTGCTCCAGTGTTAAACCGACTTCACAACTTACTGATTGTTCATTGAGCTCCTCCTGCTTCATGTTGGTTTATATGTCAACTAGCAACAGTTAACACATCAGCTGTGCATGAGCATCATGTGCCAAAGTTTGTCCTACTTGTGTCATATAGACCTACAGCGGATCACTCACAGTTACACAGGTAAAACAGCCAGTTAAATGTAAAGTCTGTTTCTGCTGCTGATCATCACATCTGATGTTTGCCTCCATGGCCCCTCCTGGAGATGACACTCTAGTTTGTCAGTCTGGACGATCTGAGTTTTGCTCTGTCTTTAACACTTGTGTATTTAACACTTAATTGTGTTGTTGTTAAACCATCCACATTATCAGTATGTGATTGGACAAAACACACAAACTCTTGTGGGTGGAAATTTGTGCTGGATGCATGGCTATTATCACCTGTAATTGTTGTTGTAAAATGTTACCTCACTGCCATTCATTCATCAAATCAAATTTTATTTGTATAGCGCCAAATCACAACAAAAGTCATCTCAGGACAATTTACAAAGTAAGGTCTAGACCAGGGGTGCCCACACTTTTTCACCTTGTGAGCTACTTTTCAAATGACCAAGTCAAAATGATCGACCTACACATGCGCGCGCGCACACACAAAATATATGTATGAATGAATGTTGTAGCTTTTATAAACAGTCTGAAAGTGCCGCTCTACATTTCCATTCTTTGGAATAGTGATGGTAGATTGGTAGATCAAGCAAATGCATTTTGAATATAACGTCACGAAAAAAAAGTCCTCCTCCCATTCCGCATGGAATGTTTTCGGTACCTTTTCGGTTTCTTACTTGATTCGGCTCCCCCACTTATTTTATACCCTTTAGTAGAAATTAATTCGAAGGCTGACAAGTTACTTCGCTCACTGGAGTTTTGCAGTAGCTTGTGCGGTTGACTGTGCATGTTTGGTGACTCGTATGTCATAAAAGACAAGATCTCAGACTGGCTGCCCTCCATGTCAATCAAGTAGCAAATGCCATAGGGAGGAAGGATGATAGGCTATATATGAATAATTGTTACTTTCTGCTTTTCCTGTTAGGGGTCGCCACAGCAAATTGTCACACTGACCATTTGCATGTTAACATTTGGCACATGTTTTACGCCGGATACATCTAATTTATTTTTGAATGGCACGCGATCTACCAACACTACCTTTGCGATCAACCGGTCGATCACGATCGATGCATTGGGCACCCCTGGTCTAGACCTTACTGTTATCACTATTATTACAAAGGGAAAACCCAAAAAATCCCCCTTGAGCAAGCAAATGGCGACAGTGGGGAGGAAAAACTCCCTTTAATGGAAGAAACCTCCGACAGACCCCGGCTCTTGGTGGGTGGCCTTCTGCCTCGACCGGTTGGGGTGAGTGGATAGAGGAGAGACAAAAGAAGCATACAGAAGCATAGGGAGAGAGGAAAACAGAGGAAAGGAGAGGGGAGGGGAGGAGAGAAACTCAGAGCATCATGGGCCCCCCCAGAAGCCTAGGCCTATAGCAGCATAACTAAGGGAAGGCTCAGGGTCACCTGATCCAGCCCTAACTATAAGCATATACTAGCAAATTATGCTAGTATATGCAACGCAATTCATTCATATTTCCTCTGTTAACATAATTCAAACAAGTTAACCCCTAAAGAAAATATGTTGGTTTTACACATTATCATTGTGTGGGACCAATGTACACATTACAATCAAGTAAATCCAACAAATCTTTTTTTTTCAGTGCAGCAGAGAGGCGTGTAAGAATGCGACCCTGCATCCTGGACTCTGGGTTGTCATAATTTAGGTTGTAAAACAAACTCGTCCAGATTTCTAGATAAGAGAGCCGCACCACCCAAAGTGGGATGGATGCGTCTCTGCTAATCAGACCAGGTTTCCCCCAAAATGTTTTCCAGTTATCTATGAAGCCCACGTTATTTTCTGGGCACCACCTAGACAACCAGTGGTTGAATGATGACATGCGGCTAAACATGTCATCACTGGTCACATTGGGTAGGGGTCCAGAGAAAACTACGGAGTCCGACATTGTTTTAGCGAAGTTACACACCGACATTAATTTTAGTGACCTCCGACTGGCGAAATCGGGAGTCTTTAGCGCCGACATGAATAACAACCTTACTGTATTTACGCTTATCCTTAGTCAGCAGCTTCAGATAGGATTCAATGTCGCCCGCTCTGGCCCAAGGAATACATTTGACTA